ATCAATGGATTTTTTTCATTAGTCAGTTTAGCTTGACTCTGGACCAGACAGTTATATCTAGATCTTACTACTGCTAATAATAATAGTAACTGCTAATACTCACTGAGTATTTACCATGTAAAAAACACTATTCAAAATATTAACTCATTCAATTGATTTTCTCCATTTTTATGTGGAGATGCTCTGTTACTTTAAAGAGGGCACATCTACACACAGACCTCGATCTCCCCAGATATTTCTGAAAAAAGAAAAAAGGAAATAAAATGTCTCTTTACGTATAAGGTTTGTAATTAAACACAGGAACTGTGTTTCACCAGAATCACAGAATCAACCAAATAGAACAAATACAGCTGTAACACGTAAGGCATTTAATCTTTGTTATTTTGCAATATCTTATTTGACAATTATTTATTGAGCACCTTAACTGATCCAAGCATAGTTATAGGTACTAAGAATACAGCAGAAGACAGACAGTCTTCCTGCCGTCAGGGACCTCCTGAAGCAAGCTAGAACTCAAGTTACAAGTAAAACTACAGTGTTATAATAACAAATAGAGCCACTATTATTATTCCCATTTTGCAGGTGAGGACAAGGTGGACCAGTTTGGTAATATGTAGCATGGTGGATTCAAACTCAGGTCTGGCTTAAACTCTATAAGAAACAAGTTTACTCACACAAAATGGGAAATAACACTTAACTTACCAATTGTGTGAGTAGAGATACAAAATATCTGGCAGACACATAGTAGCTCTTCAATAAATTACAATTTGTTGGGATTTCCCTGGCGGTCCAGTGGTTAAGACTGCGCTTCCACTGCAGGGGGCACATGTTCAATCCCTGGTCAGGGAACTAAGATCTCACATGCCTCATGATGTGGCCTAAATAAATAAATAGTAAAATGACTTATAAACTTGAGTGTATACCTGTGTTTTTCATCTCCTTAGAAATGAACCTGCTCTTTTAACGAAATTTTAACAAAAGTTCTCTCCATGTAACTGCATTTTGGAGGCTTTAAGATACATTTTTTCATAGTATAATTTACCCAAAGGGCTGAATTCTACTCAGAAATCATCAAGCATATACAGGGGCCAAATGGACGTTTGTGAAGACAATGGTTCATTGCACTTCGGCTGATATTTCAAATATTCATCTTAACCTTCCTAAGACGTAAGTATAGTAACCCCCAATTTTATGAATGAGGAAACTAGGCTCAGAGAGGTTAAATAATTTGCCTAAGGTCACACAGCTAGTGAGTGGTAGAGCCTTGGCTTCAACCCAAGCTGTTGAAAGCCAAGCTATTATTTCTGTCATATAGAATTGCTTCCTGTATGACACTCAAATAAAACCCTCCAGGATTTTCCAACAATCTCTTCCTCAGAAAACAAAGAATGTATTGATACAGATCTTTCTCTTTTCACTTGTCAATGAGGAAATCATCAATGATCAATTGCTTATTATGTGCTTATTGGATGCTGGCCAAGGTAAACGGGGCGGCACTGTGTCATTTGCTCTAGCAGAGACAAAAAAAAAAAAAAAAAAAAAAAAAAAAAAAAAAAGAAAAGAAGACAATGTCTGTAATTTCAAGGATTTTGTGTGTGTGTGTCTAATCAGGCAGGAAACCCCAAGACAAATGCAACAGAGATTATGACCTTCATTATTTGAGAGCCCAAACCCTGTTAATTCTTATTAATGTTAACAATAAACATTTTAGAACCTTTACTATATGCCAAGGACTTTCAGTGCTTTGTCATCCTCAGAAAAACCCTACTGGGTAGGTACTTTCATTATCAGTACTTTGAGATGAGCTACCTGAGCCTGACAGAGATAAAAGTAAATTATCGCTGGTTGATCTGGCTCCTAAGTGGCTGAACTGGGATTTGAACTCACCAGCATTTCTTTGCTAGTCTTCCTCTGGCTTTATTCAATTATACAGTTTCCTGAGTCAAAACTACAGTATTAAGTTGAACACTCAGTATAACAGCTGAGACATCTATGTTGCCTCTCTTGTATGTAGTTTGCAAAAACCATGGCATACAACAGAGTAATATTGTAGGTAATATTCACTGAGCATTTTACTGTGCTAAGAACTGTAGATGTATTATTCTCACAGCAACCCCATGAGATTGGCTATTTTTATTACTCTTATTTCCAGGAGACTTGATCTTTACTGTGTGGTTGGTTCTAACACCATCCATTAGACAGATGTGGAAAGTAAGTCCATCAAGTTTCCACAATCAGTAAGTGGATATACAACACACCCGTTAGTTTAGCCAAAGCTCTGAAGCACAAAACTATGTATTAACATTTGATATATTTGAGAGAGTGCTGTGTTTCTCAGCACAGAGAAATCAGCCGTTGCCCTCTTCGGGACCCTCAACCTCACCCTCAACACACGAGCTCACACAAATGCGCATGTGCATGCACACACAACACACACACACACACACACACACACAGAATTTTGTCATCTGCGGTCACTTGGTGTGAGGGCTGGAGTATAATTATCCATTCAGGACTTGGTAAGATTTCCCGGAACAAAACAGAGGGCCTGGGCCTGTCTTAGTAATGATGGTGGGCCTGTACCAGGCACTTCAAGATCTCTCATTAGTAATTCCCAGCAACATCCCTATCCGGATGACTCACAGGGGCTCAAGCGACAGAGGAGGCCAAGGGAGGGAGAGTGAGTTTCTGGGACGAGGCTCAAAGTAGTCATTTTGTATTTAGCTGCACCTCATCAAAGACCGGTATGTGTTGATGTCAACCAAGTTTTAAAGAACCAGCACTGCTTTCTTCTGCAATCCGGGACTTCCTCCACTGGACATGAGAAAACAATTTCTCTGAAATAGGAATTTTCTTGCTGGCTATTATGAGACTAACGACTGCCTCCACTTCTAAGTATCTATTTGGAGTTTATAAAGCAAAATGATGATAAACTCATGTGAAAACCTAGCAAATCTGAAATTATTTTCCTTTCTGCTTAAGCACACCTGCAGAGAGAGAAAGAAAAGAAAACACAGCGGGGGTGGGGGTGGGGTGGGCAGATAACTCAATAGCTGACATAACAATAGGATTTAGCATTTCTTGAGCACTTACTATGTGTCAAGCACAGTGCCAGAAGAAAGGCACACAGTGGTGAACTGAATGGTTCTTCTGTTTGGGGCTTTTTATTTATTTATTTTACCACCATTGAGGCGTAAAACAACATTTGCACCACACAGCTCCACATATACTGATCCCACCCACCTACGTTTTGGAGATATTCCCATTTAAGAAACATTTCCAATATTCTGAGATATTCCTGGTTTAAGAAAAGGTGATGTAATATAGTATGTTGTGTTTGAAGGTACATAGTAAAGGCCAAAATCAGAAAATCTGGGTCTGACTTCCACATAACCCTATGATAAGGTCTGTGACACAGGGCAAATTATAGAACTCTCTAAATTTTAACTTTATTTATTCATTTATTTTTTTGCCATTGGGCTGAAATGGGAAATTCTACGTAAAATGTCTAGCTTAGTGCCTGGCTTATCATAAGCCCTAGAAAGCTTTATATTTGTACACTAAGTAACATATGGTATATATGATATAGTGTCTATTACATATAGTATATATTCTATAGCATACGCTATAGAATTGTACTATATAGTGTATATATAGATATCTATATAGATATAATACATTGTGTATGAATTATATAAATATATAACTATTACTTTTATTAACATTAACAGTCATTAACGTTTAATCAAGACAAATCTGGAATGACAGAGTTCAAGCTCAAGTCGGCCTGCAAAAGGTTTTCAAAAAACCAGCTAAAAGTTTACAATAAACTTACGAGAGAAGGATTTGACACCAGGGTCAAAATGACGCAGTCACGTGACTGAAAACCCTCAGAGGAAACAGAACTTCCCTCACCTCCTCCTTGGCTGGCGGTCGTTTTTGTACTGGATCAGAACGAAAGAATACGAACCACTTCAAAACAATCAGCAAAGTCTCCAACTTCTCTTCCTCGGTTAGTACAGAAAGTTCTACCCTTGCCAGCCAGAGGACTCTAGGAAGTGTGTGTGTGTGTGTGTGTGTGTGTGTGTGTGTGTGTATGGTGTGTTCCCTCCCACGCTTGCTTAAGATGGACTTTGTAGGGATGGATGGTGATGGTAGGGGCCGCGGTTCGAAGGTGCAGGTGCCTAGCTTTTGCACAAGGTGGTCGGTGTCCAAATGGAGGGAGGGGCAGATGCCCAGTCTCAACCACAAGCCCTGCTTTTGCCTCTCATTTCATAACCAGCTAAAATGGCAACATCAGGTGGAGTACTGACTGTGGACTACGTTGTAGGCGCTTTACCTGCACTCACTCATTACATCTTCATAACAACCAAAATGGAGCAGCTAGGGAGAAAACTCTCCAAATTCAGCGGCTCCTCCTTGCCCAAGTTAAGACCCTAAGGTGAAATCCCCTCTTCGGGTGCCTTTCACTAAGACTCAAACCTTCCCCACCTTGGGAGGTGCAGAAAGCCAACCTTCCTCAAAAAACACTTCCGTCCCGGCTGGCAAAAAAACTGGTTTCGGGCAACGCGCGGGCTCTCGGGCTCCGGCAGGCGCCAGCAGCCTACCCAGGGCGGTACTCGGAGACCTCGCCAGCGCGGCGGCGCGACTGTGCAAGCGCGAGGCTGCAGTTCCCGGCCGCCGGGGGAGGGCGGGGAGGCGCGCTCGGCGCACGCCCGGTGAACTCCGGTGAGCGTGCCTTCCCTGGGGGATTATCTCCAGGGTGGAGTCCGCGGTGTTCCCGCCCGGAGAGCCGCGCTCGGGTCACCCGAGGCCCGGCGCCCTCGCTCACCTCGCTGACTCCATCCTACTTCCATGCACCACCCCCAACCCCGGGTCCCGCGTCCCTCCGGGCCTGGCCAGCCGTAACCCACTCCGCCCCACTTAGCGTGCTCATTGGCTACCCAGGGCCTGCCCTGTCTCCATAAATACATGGTCCCCGGGCATGGAGCACGGAGAGGGACAGGAGGAAAGCGCAGCGCCAGCAGCATCTCTTCTACCTTCCTAGACACCTCCACTTCGCTACTCCAGAGCTGGAAGTCAGGCTTGCAACCAGCAGGCGGACTCACGTCCTTTCCTTTCCTCTTCCAAGAGCCACCCAACTCCCGGCTGCGCTCCTCCAGCCCCTGCGGCCAGCGCTCGGCGGACATCCGCCCCCTGAGGCTGCCGCGCGGTGCAGCGTCGAGCATCCTCGCCGAGTTCCTTTCTGCTCTCTGTCCGTCTTCCGCCCTCTCCATCACACCTGCTGCCCCTCTTTGCCTCTCTTCCGCAGAATCGTCAAGCCCCCAGCTCTCGCCGGCGTCTCTTTAGCCACCTCGCCTTTCCCAGCCCCCGCACATTCCCAAGCGCCCGGTCTCCCCCGCTGCCATGAGCTCCCCCATCGGCAAGAGCCGCTCCCTTGCCGCCTTCCTACAGGAGCTGCGCAGCCTGGGGCAGCCCCCCAGACCCGTGACATCTACGGCGTGCGCGCCCCGTCGGCCGCGGGAGGTGCCCCTCTGCCCCATGATGGAACAGGGCGAGGCGCAAGACGCGGCCGCCCTGCCCGGTCCCACCAAGTGGCCACTGCTGGGCAGTCTGCTGGAGATTCTCTGGAAAGGAGGGCTCAAGAAACAGCACGACACGCTGGTAAATGCCTCGCCGCGCTCCCAGTTCCCGCTCTGCTCCCCGCCTTGCTCTCCAAACCCTCCCTGAGGCGCGCGGTTCGGGCGCACGGTGCGTTCGGTTGCATGTCCAGGCTGCAGCGGGCCCCGGTCCCCCGGAGGAAGGAGGCGGGGAGGAGGGAGAAGCGCTCTTGGGACTCTAAAGGGGATGCGCGCTTACTTCGCACCCTGCCCGGCCCGCTGCAGGCGGAGTACCACGAGAAATATGGCAAGATTTTCCGCATGAAGTTGGGTTCCTTCGACTCGGTGCACTTGGGCTCGCCGTGTCTGCTGGAAGCGCTCTACCGCACGGAGAGCGCGTACCCCCAGCGGCTGGAGATCAAACCGTGGAAGGCCTATCGCGACTATCGCGAGGAGGGCTACGGACTGCTGATCTTGTGAGTCCAGGAAGCAGGATGGGGTTCGGCGGCTGGAAATTGGGAAGGGACGGGAATTAGGGTTCCCTGGGGTTGGACCCTTCTAATGCAGGGAGAACACGGAAGCCCGTACCTGCTGCGGTCACGGGCTCTTGCGTGGACTAGAGTGGGTGGAGGGACGTCTGGGCTGAGTACGCAACACTTGTGTTCTTTCTGGCAGGGGGGCTGGGCCAGGCCTTTCCGTCAAAGAAATGTCAAAAAAAAGGTTACGCGAATTATGATGTTCGAACTCTTGGGTGGAATGCGACTGTCAAGTTAGCGTGCCAGGCAAACATGTTATACAAACAAAAATATCCCTTAAAATTCTGCGACCCCTCCCTCTCCCCACTTGGTAGGTCAAACGCCAGAAGTTAACTCCTTTATGCTTTTGACAATGACCTTCCTTTGTAAAGGAAACTGTGGGAATTAGGAGATAGACCAGTTGGAAAGCTGGCATGGAGGGGTGTGGAGGTTGCATTTTAGAGGGAAATATTCTAATGTGATATGATTCCTCAGCTTTTACATTGTCAGCATTTAATACGTTAGCAAGTTTTTTACCCCCAAATTGTAATGCCTAATAGTCATACTTTTCAGGATATATATAATTACTGGATTTATTTATTTACGGCTACATTGGGTCTTCGTTGCTGTGCTGCGGCTTTTTCTAGGTGTGGCTAGCGGGCTCGCGGGCTCTAGAGCGTAGGCTCAGTAGTTGTGGAGCACGGGCTTAGTTGATCTGCAGCATGTGGGATCTTCTGGGACCAGGACTCGAACCCGTGTACCCTGCATTGGCAGGCAAATTGTTAACCACTGAGCCACCAGGGAAGTCCCTAATCACTGGAACTAAAAACGGTATTAATGCATGATGCATCACAGGCAGCGTGGTCATCTATAGAGCAAGGGCAAAAGGGTTCATGATGAGAACAGGCTTTTTACAGCCCCAGTGAATCTCTCACTGTTATTTGAAGGCAATGGCAAAATTCTAAATTCGAGGTGTTCTGTGAATGTGCCCTTCAACCCAATTCAATAGATTGAAAGAAGACAAGATTTTTTTCCTCAAACAGATCTGAGTTGCTGGTGAAGTGGGTGTTCACGTGCCCACCCTTACTGCTGGAAACAGGCCACTGGCCTCCCAGTTCAACCCCAGCGAGGGCACATCAAAAGTTCCGAACCCAAATATCTGGACTTGATCTTTCTGCGCAATCTTTGGCTCAAGGGAAAAGCGATTATTCATCGTATTGTCAAACCAGCCCCGAATATTCCAACACTGATTATTCTCTGGCTGTTTCTTGGCACGATTCTGTGTTCATGTGATTATACAGTTCATGAAGTCAGAGGGCTGGAGGTGTCTCTGCTTCTTCGTTTGTTTCCTTTCCGTCTGCTCTAAATATAATTCTGCTTCTCTCCCAGGGAAGGAGAAGACTGGCAGAGGGTCAGGAGTGCCTTTCAAAAGAAACTAATGAAACCAGTGGAAATTATGAAGCTGGACAACAAAATCAATGAGGTTTGCAGGACGGGGTTCGCTTTCCTGGTTCTCCTGGGGATGGAGGGATTTAATGGAGCTTCAAGCCACAGCTACAAAGTGCAGAAGAAAAGGCAGGCAATTTGGATGATTCAAGAGTCTTCCTTTTCTCCTCATTCCTCTCCACATCCTCCTTCCTTATTCCCCCCTCCTTCACTCCCTTTTAAAGTAGTATTACGATAAGGGAGCAGTTACGAGCATAGACTTTGACTACAGTCCTGGTTTTGAACGTCACCCCACCCCCACCAGCTATGTAACCTGACCGTACCATTTAACTTGCTCACTTTCCCAGTCTATAAACTGGGAGTAACAATTCCCACTCCATAGGTTTACTGTGAGGATTAAATGAGATAACACTATAAACTTCCTAGGTAGTGACAGCTGAGCTGGGTTTTTCAGGATGAGTAGGAGTCTGCAAGCCAGGCAAGGTGGGAAAAGGCATTCAGGCAGAGAGCATAGCCTGCTGAAAATATGGAGGCATGAGATGGTGTGTTCAGAGAACAGTACATTTAGTGCAGCTGAAGTGAAGCTTTCTCTGAAATGATGCTGGGCAGAGGGCAGGTCTTTACAATATTTTTGTGCCACGCTAAGGTTTTTAGATGTTATCCTTTAGCCAGCAGGGGCCCAAAGGGGGAAGGATTTAAACCTGTCGAGGATTCTTTTTACTCCTGTTCACTCTGGGTATTTATTTTGAACTGGACCCACATAGGATCATGTAGGTGAAAGACTGCAAATTCAGAAGCTTCCAAGGGCCAGGTGATTAATATAAATGTATAAGACAGGCCCAACAGGGATTTTAGCAAGCAGAATAGTGCGTGCGCTTTCTAGAGGGGACAGCTGCCCCAGCTCTGGCAGATGCCTGCCACATGGAAATGTAGACCCAGTGTCACCAGATCTAGTAATTATTATTATTTTTGATGACTAACGGAAAATTCATATGTTCATGTGAAATCTCTGGATTTTTTGATGGTAACAAATTCAAAGTACTTTTTAACATGCTATGTGGACAAACTAAACATGCCCATTAGTTGCACCTGTGGATTTTGTAGTCACATATACCCTATTTCAGACCCCAGCAGAGCCACTTTTATGTGTCCGAGGGAGAGTGCCTTAGCTACTCTCTAAGCCTCAGTTTCCTCATCTGTTACCTAGGAAATGGGAGTAATGACAGTACTTTCTACCTCATGAGGTGATTTGAGGATCAGCTAAGGTAATACGCTTTGTACCATGCCTGGTTCTATACAAGCCTCATTAAATGCAAAGCATTAGTCATCTAAAACCCTGATTGTGGAAACTGGCCTCTAGGGGCTGTATAGGACCTGTCCAAGGGGACAGAGCTGTTTAGTAAAGGCGCTGCGTCCACAACTTACAGTTCCCTGGCTCTAAGCTTAACATGCTTAATACAACACCAACCAGTAAGGAGACGTTTGCCTGCCCAGCTATGGAAGTGGCAAACCTCGGGGTAGCCAGAGTCCTTGAGACGTTGTCCCCACAGAGACACTGGGCTGATTCCTCCTTTGTGGTTTTTTCTCCATTCTGATTAGAAGAAATGTTTTCCTTTTCTTAAATTTAGATCAAAAGCTGAAACCTAAGCTTCAGGGAGGCTGCAGGGAAAGCTCAGGAAATAACCCAGGACAAGGGTGTTGGGGCAGAAGATGATCTGCCAAGGAGAATATATAATTAGTGATGATTCAGAATGAGTAACATTATGGGCAGTGAATATACAAGGTAGCAAAATCTGAAGCTAGCTTACTGAACTTGAAACTTTTGTTTTCCTTCAGTGACTGAAATGTGTCTTTGGTGATTTCTTTCTGTTAAGGTCTTGGCTGATTTTACAGGTGGAATAAGCGAGCTCTGTGATGAGCGAGGCTGCATTGAAGACTTGTACAGCGAGCTGAACAAATGGTCATTTGAAAGTAAGCTGTCTTCACATCTTGTTCATTTGATTTTGCAAGTGATTTTGAGGACAGACATGGCCCTGTGGGCAACTCTTCTGTAATCATACACTATTGCTGAGTAGGAAAGGCCATAGCAGCCCTCTTAATGCTTTCAGGTGTTTAGGTGATGCTTTACCCTCTGGATTGTTTATGTAGTCATTCAACAAACATTTATACAACACCTGCTATGTGCCAGGCACTGTACTAGGGACACAGCAGTGAACAAAACAGGCAACATCCTTGCTCACATGGAGCTCAGATTTTAGTAGGGGTGACAATCAACTAGTAAATATATTTTAATATATACTCTGCCAAGGAGTAAGGGAGTCAAGAAAGAATATAGGTTCCTAGGTGAGGCAGGTCTGCTTGGTAAGGAGACATTTGAGGTGAGACCTAAAGGAAGGCAAGGAGCAAGCCACCGGGGTATCTGTGGGAAGCCTGTTGGGACAGTGGAGACAGGAGGTGCAAATGTCCTGGGGTGAAAGCATGAACAATGTCTTTGGGGAACTTCGAGGATGCTGGTGTGAGTGGATTATGGGGGGAGGGGAAAGAGGAGCTGAGAAGGATTAAGCCGGGGCCTGAAAGTCCCCGCAAGGACGTTTACTTTGAGTCCGATGTTGAGCCATGGAAAGTTCCGAACAGAAGGGAGCATGGTCACTGTTTTCAAGGACGACGCTGGGAATAAAAGCAAAGCCCTGCCTTGATGTGCTCGCTGCCCAGTGGAGATGCAGGCAGGGGAACGAGGCAGCTGCAGTAGAATGGGGAGCACTTGAATGAGGGGGTTCAAGGCTGGGGGAGAATCCTAGTGGCTGCCTCAGCTGAGCATGGTCAGGGCCGCTTCACAGAGGTGGTACCGTCTCAGCCGAGGCCTGGGAGATAAGTAGGAGTTTCCCAGGTGAAAGTGAAGAAAGATGGAATGTTCCAGGCTGAAGGAACAGAGAGTGTTGTGTTGAGGAGAAAGAAGGGTGTTCTGAGTAACTGGAGCATGTCCAGCAAGGGACGAGGATGTCCAGGGCAGAGGATAGGAGGAAGCAGCGGCCAGCCCATGTGAGTCCTGTAAACCAGGGATGGACATTTGGCTTTGAGCCCAGAGTCCCTGGGAGCAATAGGAGAGTGATTTTAGCAGGAAGGTGCCAAGGTCCGTTTTGCCGGAAGGATCACTCTTGACTGCTGATATGAGGGATTGGAGAGGGTGCCCCGGGATGGAGGCTTTTGTCCTGACCTGTCTCCCCCATCAGATAGTTGTAAAGTTACAGACTGTCATCTTAGCACATGAGAAAGCCCCATGCCAATAAGAAATCCACAGAAGGTGTTAAGGGAAAGTGGGAATGATTATAGAGGAGAAAAGAAGAGTATGTTTTGGAAATCGTCCACTGGAAATACCCAAATTAAGGAGTATCAAATGCATTTCTTTGCAAGTCAAAGAAAACCTGACCATGGTGGTTGACAAACTATTGTCCAGCGTTATGAGAAGTCCTGAGGAAGCCAGTCCACAGCTGGCACTCAGTGATGTCCCTGGGACCCAAGCCTGTTCTGTCTTCCTTCTCATCCATCCTGAGCTAGTTGGCTTCTTGCAGAATGGCTCCTGCCCCTCCTGGCCTCACCCCTTCATTCTAGGCAAAAACAAGAAGGAAAGAGGGAAGAGCTAAACCAGCTGTACTTTCCCCTTTATCAAGAAAGCAAAAGTGTCTCCCTTGAATCTCATTGGCCAGACCTGGGTCATGTGACTGCTTTGGCTGCTACAGGAAGCCTGGGAAGTCAGGGAACAGAATTGTCTTAGATCGATCCTGACTTATTGCCTGAGGACTGATACACTGACAGCCTAAATAAAATCGGGGTTCTCTTAGGGAAGAAATGGGGAAGAATGAGTATGGAGTAGGTCATTAACAATGGCTGCTACACATGATATCAAGGGTAAACTCTGAGAAAATCAAGACATTACAGGAGAGATTCACTCATGTATAAAAATGGCTGCATCTTCACAGTGGCTTTTCTGATCAGGAGATTCTGCAGGGGATGAGTCATTGGACCTGGAGATAATTCTAGAAAGAGAGAAGAGTAATCAGGCCCCTTTCTCAGAGAATTTGCTTTTCCTCTGTTCTTCGAAAAGACCTCACTTTTCTTTTTTTTTTTGCGGTACGCGGGCCTCTCACTGTTGTGGCCTCTCCCGTCGCGGAGCACAGGCTCCGGACGCGCAGGCTCAGCGGCCACGGCTCACGGGCCCAGCCGCTCCGCGGCACGTGGGATCCTCCCGGACCGGGGCCCGAACCTGCGTCCCCTGCATCGGCAGGCGGACTCTCAACCACTGCGCCACCAGGGAAGCCCAAGACCTCACTTTTATGGGAAACAGAATTGAGCCTTTGGTAGCCAGCTAATCATAGACGCCAGTGTCATTGTGAATGGGTAACAGTGTTGATTATTTTAAATAACAGGCATCTGCCTTGTGCTATATGAGAAGAGATTTGGGCTCCTTCAGAAGAACGCAGGCGATGAAGCTTTGAACTTCATCATGGCCATCAAAACAGTAAGCATCTCCTGGGTAGAGAACCTTTCCTTATAAAACGTTCACAGAACCTAACAAATGCCCATCACAGTGTTTCCCAAGAGTGGCATCCACACATATTTTATTACAGTAGTTAAATGTTCATTTTAATATGTGTTGCATATTTTCATGAATGAATGTACATATACGTACATATAATAAAAAAAGGCACATTCAGTCGTTGTCAGGCAAGGTGAAAGTAGGTATTTCAGTTAAAGGTCAGTTGATTAAAATACTACTGCAAAGAGTCTGAAAATTTTCAGATTAAAATTTGGGGGATTGTTTAGGTTGTATGTAGAGATAGTAGACCCTGTGAAACTGGTTTTAGGAATGGCTGAAGTTTGGAAATTATTGGAAATGGAAATGGATATTAGATTTGTATCCTTTCTTCTTTTTTTATGTTTAGGTCATAAGATCAATTTTTTTATGAAACACATCCAGTGGAAAAGCATCCCAAAGATGATTTTCATATGTCCCTGGAGGGTGGGGCCGGGGACTGGTGCTGAGAGCCCTGAGGCGTCCTTGGAATTCCGGCCTTTAGGGGAGCAAAGGGTGCAGTTGTTTAGAATGCTTCTCTCAAGGAATGCAAGTTGTCTTTGAGAGAAAGAGAAACGGGGGTGAAAAGGCATTTGTGTTCCCCACAGATGATGAGCACGTTTGGGAGAATGATGGTCACGCCAGTCGAGCTGCACAAGAGCCTCAACACCAAGGTCTGGCAGGCGCACACTCTGGCCTGGGACACCATTTTCAAATCGGGTAACGTGGCCACATATACCCAGCAACCCTGTCTCCGGAGCTGCTGCCAGAAGGTCTGGATGACCTTGGCCTCAGCACCCCATCCTTTGATGGAGTTGCTCCTCTGGATTCTTTTGGGCTTTGCAAACTCATGAATTTGGGGATCATTTCCTAGATGAATTCTAGGAAAAGGCAGCAGGTAGTTTTCTGTAGTCTTCTTTGGGAACTAGGAGTGGTTAAAAGCAAGAGCTTTGGAGTCAAAGATTCCTGGGTTCAAGTCCCAGCTCTGTCATTGGGTGTGGTGGCTTGGCCAAATGCATTCTTTTTCATCCTCAGTTGTCTCGCCTCTAAAATGGGTTAATAGTGGTAGTAGTAGTAGTAGTACATACCTCAGTACAACTGTTTTCAGTTCTAATATAGATAACTTAAAACCTGGCATATGATCTAGTGGGAACTGTCACTGTTTCCTGCCAAGAAAATATGTAATATAATTTCTGAAAAACCTAAAAAAAAACAGAACCTGGCACAGTCCAATATCTCAATGGATCAGAGCTATTTCTGCTACAGGATGAAGGGAATATTTGGTGCTAAGTATTGTTCTGAGTATACACACACATACTCATTTAATTCTCACAGAAACCCTGTAAAGTAGGGTTTTATATTAGGCCTGAGTGATAGAACTGAGACACAAAATTAAAATTATCAAGATTGCATGCTAGGTAATGGCAAAACCAGGGTTGAAGCCAGGCAGAAGATCCAACTCTAACTGCTGTGCCATTTATTGTCATCATTTTTACCATCATCACCATGATTATTATTATGGTGGTGGCTTGTATGATGGATTGAAGTGAGGGAGGTGCATGCCTAGAATGTACTTGACGAACATCACCATTATTGTCAGCACGCATGGGCACTGCACATGTGTGTGTATGTGTGTGTTTATGTTTGGTAACAATGGGGGAGGGTTTCTCCTCTCCTCTGCTGCCAGGATTTGGGAGCCAAATCCCACTGTGCCTGTATCAGTGACCATATCTGCTAGATGCTTGGATATGGGACCAAGTTCTGATTCTGAGAACGGACCCAAATGCCACCTCTGTCTCATGATGAGCTCTCTCTCCCAAGCTCTAACCTCTTCCTACTCAAAATGTGACTGCAGACCCAGCAACAGCATCCCCCGGTAGCTTGTTAGAAATAAGACTTCCAGCCCCACCCCAGACTCTAGAATCAGAATCTGCATTTTAAGAAGATGCCCGGGGGATTCTTGTGCACGTTAATATTTGAGAAGCCCTGCCCCTGTGGGCATTGGTCAGGGCTTGCTGACTTAACAACAAGGCGGTATTAGCTTATCTAACAAATTGTCAAATTGTCAGATTGCCTGCAAAGACCCTTTAGATGTTGCAAAGGAGAATCTGATCCTGGGTTCCATTTCACTCTTCCTCCTCCTAATTTTCAGCTGATTTCCTCTCCCTTTTTCTCTTCTCCAACAGTCAAATCTTGTGTCGACAACCAGTTAGAGAAATATTCTGAGCAGCCCAGCATGGATTTCATTAGTGATATTTATCACCACAATCAGCTTTCAAAGAAAGAATTGTATGCGGCTGTGACGGAGCTCCAGCTGGCTGCAGTGGAAACGGTAAGGGTGGGCCCGGTTTTAGTTTGCTTAATCAACGGGCTGTAAAATCTTTTTCATGATGAATTTTAGGTAGTCATTCAACTCACCTATTCCATAAGGATTAACTGAGCATTAGCTTAGCAGACATAAAAATTCTCATACTAGAAATGTGCAGGAGACCCAGAGCACAGTCTTTGTGCTTAAACATATGATAGAAAAATTCATGTGCTTTAGAGACAGAAATCCGGTTCAGGGTATAAGTGCCACAACAAATATGCAAAATGCGACAGGAATTAAGAAGCAGTAAAATCCTACAGCACAGCAAGGTAGATAATCTAGGTTTTTAAAAACTGGATATATTTTAGGCTGTGCATGTTACTCCAAAGTGCCTAACTGTGGATGTTATTTAGTCTAAAAACATTGGAATACTCTCTGCAATTCCAATAATATTTTTTTCTGCTTAAAATTGTCAACAGAAGGAGTTTGGGAAACACTTGATTTCAGTTTAAAGAAACAGCTATTTTTTTTTT